TGGGGCTGAGGGTGTTGGCTCCAAGAACCAGCCGTGAGCGAACAGCGCCTGACCCCCTCTATGGTTAACTTGAGAATAACAGGACTATGCCTTTCTCCAGGCCAATCCGTTCAGTAACCAGCTGACCCAGCACCACCTTTGGTGGAAGATGTGGTTTGGATTGGACTTCGCTAGGATTTGTCAGTTCTTCTGTAGACACTAATGCTCCCTCGAGGAAAGACACGAGCCCCGGCGAAACTGACCAAAAACGTGGCAGGGATTCTCACCCTCCATAGTTATTGGACTATGTTTATTTGAAAACAATCACCTTTAAACTAAATATTGTTGTAATAACAAGGGAATGAGTTTTTCTATTTGAACTGTTCAGTTCACAGGAAAGCAGATATGGACTGCTTTAAAACTTTTATTTTGGATAACGTTTGTTTCAGTAACCATTAAGAACCAGTGGCCTTTTGTAACTGCATCTTGCTCTATCCAGAGCCCTTGCGCTTGCAGTAGCGCGCGCCCGCCTCACGGCGGTTTCTTGACTTGTGAAACAAGCGCGCCCGCAGTGGCGCGAAAGCACGTGGTTAGGTGAAACTGCATCTTCAACCTCAGTTTCATTGTGAAACGTCAAGAGACTGGTAAAGTCAAATATTTTGTTACATAAACATTTTTATCAATTTTTGAAGGGTAGTAATTGTTTAGATCATAATTTTTATACGAAACTATTAATGTTTTTTTTTAAATAGCTATTAGCAGGGTAAAATTTGTTAAGTGTGTTTCTATAAATTTCTCTATTGGAAATTAAAGTTTTTGATCTCTACTATTTATTGTTATTAAAATGCTCATTGTAGCTAGTTATTTTTAAAAGATTTTCATCATCATACATGGTATATAAGGATAAAATAAGATTAATTCAATTAATGTTCCAAGAAGGTCCTCCAGCTTAATAATAATATAACCATGGTCAATACTCACCAACGCAATCATCCTCAATCTGTGGTAACATGCTGGCCACACATCTATCCCCCTCAGCAAGACGATTAGAATAATGACAATAATTGTCAAATGACGTAGTATATTATATAACTGTTAATATATTGACGGATGTTACTCGTCTAAATTTCTTCGAAGTAGCGCGCGCCGCTTTCTTCTCGAAATGGCCCGACGGCAAGTGTGAAGTGCTACGAAGTAGCGCGCGCCGGGCCAGACCATTAACAATGGTCAATTAATATATAAATATAAATGTTCAATGTTGTAGAGCAATTTCAAGAGAAGTGGTCCACAGGGGTCCGAAAAAGACGTACATGCACTTGGGTCCTTATCCTTGTCACTCTCAATTGGATTCAGTTTACACAAAACATAAACATTTTAGACGTACACATTGACACGATATTTATTAAAAAGGAAAAGTATAAAATCAAAAATAATACGTGCGTGTGCGGCTTGGGCCGCGCTGCATATGGCTGTATTATGGCATAAGCAATAAAAATTGATGCGTGTATTGGGGCTGGAGTACGCTTGTTTATAAATTAATGAACTATTGCATTGTAAATATTTAGAATTGACGATATATTATGATTTAATAATAAGTTTTGCAAAACTGGCTTTGGATTTAGGTATATAATTGTAATTTATTTTAAAATTTACTTTGTCGTACTAACATGAGTTAATCCTGTTTTCAAGAATGCGCGACTTTGGCGGCCAATTATTGATTTATACATAAAATTGAATCTTAAATAGAAATGCGGATATATTAAAATTTTAAATTTTCAAAACGGAGGCTTATAAATATTTTTTATATTATGATTGTAAAATGAAGGATAAAATTTTAAATTTGTTTCACTGTTCACTAAAAATTTGTTTCACTGAACTGTGCTTCAAGTCATTTTGTGCCCCAAGTGTGCCCCAGCTGTGCCCCAATTGTTTTTGCCCGACTATGCCCCAAGCTCAAGTGTGCCACAAATAAATTGTTGCCACAACTGTGCCCAAGGAATTTCAATTTTGTGCCTCAAGACCTGTGCCTAGCTAAATTACCAACTCACAACTGGCCAAGTTTTAAACTAATTACAACAAATTACGTTTATTAAATTTATAGAGCGTTATGTAATGGGATGGAAAATTTTTTACCATGTGTATTTAGTCCCCACCCTAGCTCCATAATATAAATAATTTGTATCACGTGGTGACCCCCACGGTCGCTTCACTATACTGTAGAGTTTCGACGATACAGGGGAAGCCGCGCGGGAGGTCATACAACGTATGACAATAAATAATTTGTTTCACTTCTAGATGAAAATATGTAATATATAATATCAAATCGCTATGTGAATATAATTTTTGCTATCAATAGAAAAGACTGCTAGAATAACTTGAAATGTTTCCGTTTGCTTAAGTTTTTAGTTCAAGAGGACTCTATAGGAATGTGCAGGGTGGGCCAAAAGTCAGTGGGCATTCGTTGGCCTTAATAGCTCCGCCGTGTTTTATATTTGAGAGCTGTTGCTTTGCAGATGGCGTACTGTACTTACTGGTTTGAGGATTCCGTCGTCAAAATTTGAAAACTCGAATATTTTAGACCACGCCCATTCAATATCCAATATCAAAACACCTATATTGTATTCTCTGAACATGCTGAACGCCTAATATTTTCAGAGACGGTAGATTATTAAATGTTGCATATGATCTGAAAACATGAGGCAAAACGGATTAGAAATGACGAAGTTATCAAGCATTTTCTGTATCTCGTTAACAAAATTGACTGGGAGATTATGTGACACTGTGACACGACACCTTAATTGGGCACCCTTAACAATTCCCATATTGTTTAATGGGGTGGTTAACGGGGTCACCTAATCACGTGATTATGTAAACCAATCACCTGATCACACGTAACATGAATAAACTGGTTATTCTTCATATCTCAGTCATTTCAAGACAAACGTAATTCGAATGGCCAAATACAATTCATTAAAATTTAGCTCGATCCGACTATCCAAACTATCAAATAAATTTAAAAATGAACCTTCATTTGAAAAAAATGAACTCGAATATTTTTCGATTTGACAAATTCCTCGAACCAGTGGTGGAAGTAAGTCATACCAGAAAGAATTATTTCAATTGGGCACTCAGTGACTGAGATATTAAGGCCAACGTATGCCCACTGACTTTTGGCCCACTCTATATAAAGAAATTGATCGATATGATCACGGGCGGGGTTTCAAGACTCGAGTTAATAACGAGTTTTCAAAGCTTATCTTAATAAGATTTGAAAAAAGACATAATATTCGAAAAATGACATAATATGATTTCGGCAAAGGACATTATTACTTTTATGTTTCCCTTTTTACTCAGGCATCTGCTTAACCGTTAAGTTAAACAAGAATATATCAGAATGTTTTAAAGAAATTACACGATATATATGATCATTAGCATTACTATCAATACAAACAATGTTATCAGTGTTGATGTTGGCATGGGTGCTTACTGTGCTTTAGTGCAGAAACAGAGGCACATATTAGGTGCGATGGGTGCGGGATCGCACAATTAACCGTTTTCCGCACATTTCCGCATAATTTATTGTTTTCCGCACACTTCCGCACATTTTGTAATTTTCTGCATATTTCCGCATAATTAGCATTTTCCGCGTAATTTCGCGTAATTTTGAAATTTTCGCGTTAAGATTTTCGAGTGTAAAAACCAAAATATGTTAAAAGTCGGGCCCTTTTTGGACCGTGACTCAGGCCCTTTTAGGACCGTGACTCAGGCCCTTTCGGGACCGTGACCAAGGCCCTTTTGGAACTCATACCTAGGCCACGTGACCCAGTTACCACGTGACCCAGGCCCTTTCGGGACCCTGACCCAGGCCCTTTCGGGACCGTGACCCAGGCCCTTTTGGAACTCATACCTAGGCCACGTGACCCAGTTACCACGTGACCCAGGCCCTTTTGGGACCGTGACCCAGGCCCTTTTGGAACTCATGCCTGGGCCACGTGACCCGGTTACCACGTGACCCAGGCCCTTTCGGGACCATGACCCAGGCCCTTTCGGGACCGTTACCCAGGCCCTTTCGGGACCGTTACCCAGGCCCTTTCGGGACCGTGACCCAGGCCGTTATGGAACCCTCGTCGTTACCGTACTTCGATCATACCTGCAGCCCTTTTTATCGGGTAATGAGCTCTATTCGTTGTAGCGTTGGCTTTATAGTGGGCTTAATGGATCTTGGATCAAATGGTTTACAAGTACTGACGATCAATGCCAACAAGCGTGTCACATATTTGCAATCACGCATGGGATCTAATCGACTCTATCAAGAGGCGTCTTCAAATAACTGTCTCCTGATCTCTACCAGATCAAGTCACTGTTCTCAGATAACTGAATCTCAATATAGGTTCAATCATGGTCTTAGTAAAGAACTACACCCTCAGTAACACATAAACAGACCTATTTTTGATAAGAGCGGCGGTTATACGTTTAGAATTTCCAAAGTCCTTCAGAAAATGCAAAAGAAAACCGCACAATTCCCGCACAAATTTCAAAAAATCGTCGCACATTTGCCGCATAATTGGTAAAAATTTACCGCACCTTACCGCACATTTTACCTTTATAGTCGGGTGCGGTACCGCATAATTTCGATTTTTTTACCGCACCTAATATGTGCCTCTGTGCAGAAACGTCACAGTACGGGGTGCTTTATTGCAAGATCTGCAGGAACTAATTGTCAATTAATATAAACTTGTAACATTTCTCGGATTAGTGTGATGAAATATTCTGTAGTATGTTATAACACTGAGTAGTGTAATTACGATAGCCAAGATCTGACTTATTTTTGCGGTACGGAGAGCACCTGCAGGGTAATAAAGTAGGTATTAGCGTGATTTATAAGATTCATGTCAAAGTTTTACTATTCCTTTTTTTCAACTTCACAATTCACATTCCTAGCATATTTCACCCTGACTTTTTAATGTCTGTACTGTGTTCCTACTGTTCATTTAACTTCCATTATCTCTTATATTTTTTAGGGCAATGGTTTAAGTCAATGCTGAAGAGATGGTATTGTCCTCAATACTGCGGAGGAAGAGTGTGTCAGACTCCTCCTCACAAAGCACTGACACACTTGACCAGCTCACCAGCTTTCTGAAAGAGTTGGAGAATGAAACTCTTAGTCCTTGTGCTGAATGCACACGGAGGCGGTTGTTGGATTTAGTAAGTTATTAGGAGGTGGATCTCCAGGAACATTTGAAAAAATAGCATCCCATGGTTTTTGATTTTTATGCTTCTATCAGTTCTATTTACTGCCACACACTAAGTGATACATTTAAATCGGTAATTAGAACCAACAACATTCTAATTTCTAAAATATTAAACTGTATCCAAATCATTTCAGCTGGGCAATAAACGGCAATTGAAGCTAACTATAAAGAGATTGTCCCTGCAAAGTAGCCGACTCGGGAGCACAGCGTCATCTCTGCGTAGCGACAGTCCCATCTCACCTGACATACCTGACATTCTTAGCCAGCTCAGTAATGAGTCTCAGAGATCCGTATCTACCTCTCCCATGGTATCTCCAATATTGAGTCCTATTGTATCTCCTTCCCTTCATCGGGTGTCTTTCCAAGGTACATGTGTGGTAAATTTGTCAAAATTTAGGTCGCTTTGTAGCTGTCTAGAGGTCTCAAATTATAGTGGAAATTTATCGATTATGTTTGAGGTTGAGATTTTTAATAAGATTATTTTCAGGATCTTCATCAGATGGGTATGAGATAGATGTTGACTTTATGCTGGACAGTGCCGTAAGTGATATTTTCGCTTTCTCATCTGTTGTACTGTTGTAGTCCATTGGGCATTGTCCTAAAACTACATTATGACTACATTATGACGCACTTGGGAACCTCCCACTGCTCAGTACTCAGCACATGATTGATGACTGAATAGCAGTTCACTTAATTTACAGACAGCACACTTATTTACAGACTAAACGACTCTTATATTATAGTAAGACTTATGATATTCACAACGTACCTGTACAGTCATTACACATACTACAGGCAATTTGGGTTATAGTTATTCCCATGTAGCTCTGCACAGTCACATCGTGCGCTAAAATAATAATTATAATACATTGTACACATTGTCTAGCATACGTGCAAGTTTTGAAACATTGAGGAATCAGACCTCTCAAAATGTGCAGAGTGCTAGAAATGACATCACTATATTAGACAGTGTCATTAATATGTTGTGAGTGTGTAAATTCTTAAGAAATGTAAAGCCCCCCACATCTGGGATCTGCTCTTGACAAATAGATCCATTAGGGCTCTTTACCCGTCGGACAAATAAACCTTAAATTGTCTGCTATTGTGCTGGGTTCTCTTTTACTAACATCTAAATTGTCTGAATTAAACCAGTGCTGACCTCTCCCCTCTTGTTAACTTGTTAGTGTTACAGACAACATTTAATTTACCTACTCAATTAGCAACACCACTTACTTCACGTCGCCTGTCTTCTAATTGGACGGGAAGGTAGACTTGCAGCAAGCTAGCGAGCACTGGATGTTATTGGATGTAATACTGGCTAGGTGTTTTACGTGATCACATGACAAGGCACGTGGGTTCCTATGGAAGATATTGCTTAGCGACGAGATTGAAGGTGTTTTCATCACGTGACCTGAAAGTCACAAGCTTGTTACTAAATGTGGTCATGATGATTGATGACCTTACAACCTGGTTCAACTGATTAGTGCTCTCTGCATATTGTACTTAATAAACTTTGCAGTGTGTCATCTGCAGACTTCCTCATCCAAGTAATAGAGTAAAACTAAAAGAAGTAAAAGAAATAGAAAAGGAGAAGTTTTATAAACAAACCCGAAGGTCAAGGAAAGCCCGTTTTATAAGGTGTTCTGATAGAATGAGTGTTTAGTTGTCTTACTAAGCTAGGGGAAAGGCGAAGATTATAAAAATATCGCTTTAGTTTGAGTAATTTACTAAGCATTCTATTCATAATCTCCCAGTTTCTATAAGTTCAGTAGTCTAGATAAATCTTAAACGATGTTAAACAGTTAAATCATTACTAAATGTGCTATATTGAAGATTTTGTCTGAGTCTGGTAATGTTAATACGTTACCGCTTAACTTATAGTTATGTACATAATATATATATATAGTACCACATTTTAACTTACATACGCTCCATAAATTTGAGTTAATTATTCTCATGAAATAACCACATAAAATTACTTATAATTAATGATACACTTGAGTGAATTTGCACTCATAAACTTTCTTAAGACTAATCATAATATATGCGATAATTCATCAATAACGATAAAAGCTCGAGTACTTAATTACTGCACCGAACAATCAACTAATTTACCGCTCATTATTATCCACACTGTGAATATCTAGATAAGACGGTGCGACTCCTTAACCAATTAACCAATTAACATGGTTAATTACAGTGCTCCAGCCAATCAAATCTCAGATACGCCTGACAACACGACAAACAAAATGCAGAATGAGCTAAACTCGCACGGAAACCCAATTTAGTTTTCAGCAGCCTGTAAAAACTGCCGTCACGTGGTTCTGTTCTGAGCGCTTATTGGCTGGTTCTGGTGTTGCTGTCTTCTGATTGCATGAGGAGTCATTTTGGCACAACTGACAGTCAATTTTAACTTTTATAATTTATAGCCTCGATGTTGTGGTGAAGTATATTTATAGGTATCATGTTAAAAATGTACAATCGTGTACATTGAGCTAGACATAGACGCGTTTGTTCTGATATTTCGCAGTTGACTGTGTTTTGGTTCACCCAATTCCTCACTTGGAACTTCAACGAATCACAAGTGAGTATCTCACCACGTGACTAACGCTCACCCAATCAAAACATTCTTCACAGTCACGTGATAACCCAGGTGAGCTGATGATTAAACAGGCAGTCATTAAGATGACGATAATTGCTGGCCAGATGTCACTTGTGCCTCACTACCTGCAAGCCTGGTCGTACATCTCGTTTATTAGACCTGCTTTTCATCTGTACTGTCTGATTTCTCGATTTTCCTGTAAATCGCTGCCATTTTGATCGGAAATCTAATAATAAAACAAGTTTCGGCGACCGTCTTTTTAGTTTTAACAGCGACTAATTATTTCAATTTGTCCAACATTTAGCCGGCGTGACTGGTGACAAGTTGTATCCATGTCAACTTGTCACTTTCCGTGCTAAACATGGAAAGTTCTCTTTTTCCTCTTACTGGGAGAAGTATAGCCAACATATTAAAAACATAATGAGCTGTACTTCCACAGCTTCAACCGTGAACTTAAAATAGAAGAAGTGAAAGAATTGGTATGGTTTTGAGACTAAGGAACTAAGGAACTAAAGAGTATGGAGCATGGGAAGTGTTGCTGTGACATGCGTCACACCTGGACACACCCCCAGAATGAGGGAAGTCTCAACACCAGTCGAGAAGTTTTCCAACATTCATTCACCAACTAATTATATTACAATTAGGGGGTGATACAGCATGGCACGGGTCACTGGTGTCACGAAATTGAATAGTGGCTGGTCATACCCCATACCCGGAGTCAGACCCTACTTTCTGGTAGGACCGTTACGGTTATGAGCAGCGGTTAACTCAGATGTCCGAGATTTAAAGGTAGACTAGCACAGCTACGAGTTAATATGATGCTGGTTTTAAGGAGTTGTGGAGGGCTTTAACCATGTTGTTGAGATTGCAGGGTGGTTATACTAAATCTGCTCTTTTCTTTCCAAACTTTTACATTAAGTCCTTAATTGGTATGATTGGAAAAAGAGAAAAGATGTGAAGATAAAGTTCATGCTACAAGAGTAACATGTTAGGTAATGACTGAAGTACTTTGTAGTGGTCTGAGGGTTAATACTTTAGTTAACGTACTAATTGTTTGTTTCTTTTAACTGGCACTGAGCCCAATCAAAACAAAACCTACTCGAACTTTTCTAATTAGCATTGGTTAGTAATGAGGTGATCTTATCTGTATTACAAGCTGAAGTCGTGGCGAACAGATAGTTCTTTGAAATTTTATTTTCAAAAAAATATTAGAGTCAAGTCACGTAAAAAAATCAATGACAGCTTTGGTTGGTTTTAAGTCTCTACATTATTTTCAGTTCTCCTTTCAATCCTCCTAACTGTTCTTTGTCCATGAATATAAGTCCATTCAAGTGAATGTAGCTATGTATATTGTATCCGAATAATTCGATTTTGCTACATTTTTATTACATAAATTTAGCATTGCCAATCCGGAGCCAGTAATTTTACTACTATTACGGATTTATATCGATTTCCCGGAGCGGTGAAGAAGCTGCTATCTACTCACGTGGCATCCGTCATAACCTTATCAAGCATCTTATGGACATAGGGCAGGGGTTGAAATGGTTGGAGAATTTAACATTTAGGTGGGCAACCTGGTAATCTGTCTATATGGTCGCTTAAGGGCGCTTAAAACACATTCAAGGGTCGCCTAAGTTTCCCACAAGTGTATGTACCCCAAGCGACCCTAAAGCTATCCTGAAGCAAGCACCTAGGCTTTGTGTATTAATTGTGCTTTAAAGCGAGCATTGTGCCCTAATGCTTTAATAAGGACCACCAAGTTACCTTTAAGTGTAATTCTTACTCCTCTTCCCAAGTTAGTACACTTCTATGTCCATTGCCATCTTTTGAGTTTAACGGTGTTGTAGCATATTTCTTCCCGCATATTTCTTCCCGTGGAGTTTAGTAGAAATCTCGATGGGAACTTTGATTTAAAAAGAGATAACCAGACTTGTGCGAGGGTACAACATTATCAGATCACAAGACTAAACATTCCTTTTGCACTGTAATGCTGAATGTCGATGTTCATAATTGATTCCAAAAATCCTAAATAGATCTTCATAGTTAAATGGAATCTTTAATGAACACGCACTGATTATCCCATATTCTACAGTTTAATTGAGAATTATGATTTGAATTAGTTCAACCTGATCTGCAGTTATCACCACTCAAAACCAGTCACGGATAAAATCAGAGAATTTCTGTGCAATAACTGGCCAATTATATTTGCTTTTATAATTGGGAATATTCAAACTGCGTCAACCGTCAATACGAACATTTGTTTGTATTTGCTTCTATATTGTATGTATATTCTATCGATGCAGGTCGTAGTGCTTTAAAACCCGTTTTACTTTAACTGTCCAGTTTATTTTATCCACTTTTACTTTATTAGTAGCTTCAATGTCGGATCTATTTGATCTACCTTTATTTCTTCAAAGGACGTAGGCCTTATATGATATTTATACATATTTATAGATAAGTGTCACAGTTAAGTCTTTGTCTTAAAAATTGCGAAATGTTAAGAATAGTTGAAAGTGTAGGTCTTGTCTCTCTAGAGCATGAGTATAGAGTAATGATTGTGCGATTTAATTAGATTTTCTGTCAATAGATCCGTTTTGTGTGGTTTCAAATCGGCTCGTTAACAAGATAATTGACTCCGATAATACGATAATTAAGTCCTAGTAAAACGGTAATTAACGGTGGGTTGTTAGCTCAGGGGGATTCCCACAATAATTGGGCTGCTAGAGTACAAGACTTAACAGTTTTAGAAGTTCTGAGGATTGTTGGGAGGTGAATGTCAATAATTATTGTTAATCTTGCAAATTTGAGCATTTAATTTAGACCTAACAGCATAAGCTAATTTATGTTACATTATGTAAAGTTAATATACACTAGAAGAGTGTAAAGTATAAATAATTACTATCAGTATTAGGTACCTCCCCTCCCTCCCTCCCTCCCA